AAACAGAGAGCGAACATGAACTACTCAAATCAGTAGTTCTTAGTTTGGCTTAAATGTTGAACACACATTATTTGAGGGCAGGCTTTTAAGTCCACCAAAAGATGCATCTTTACTCAGACTGTACCACAGACACGCAGTATTTTCAAAAAAAGGGGGACCTTCTGAGTAAATACACACATGCATATATAGATATTATTCAGCAATTTTGACCCTGCTTCTAAAGGGAGGAGTCTAAATCTACAATGGCAGTGTAGAAAAGACCAAATAAAGACTGTTTTCCTTAAAAAAATCAGTCTTACCTGTGCTTCCCAGCAGCCCTTTGCTGCGTAGTCTCGTAGCTTCCTGAGACTTTGGAGGTACCTGCCAGGGTCTGACATCTACAGAGAGGAATATAAATAGATTTCAAAACCCATTACCTTTACACAACAAACAGAAGGATGGTAGTAGTAACATCCAGAGGAAAAACACTGCCTGTGGGTACATCTGTTATTTCGGCAATCAGCTTGTTTCTCCTCATGACAACGTTGTTTTTAAGAAACTTTCTTTGGTTCTTGCCCAAGGTCTCACAGGACATGAGACAGGTCACTCGGGATTCCAACATGAGAGCTCTGGCAGACTTACTAAGGACAACGTGGGCAGTCTCCCTGCTCCTGTTCCCAAGCGAGCCACAGGATCACCAGCCAGCAGTGCCTTTAGCAGAGTTAGCATAAAGGGCCTTCTGCAATGCTAGCACCTTGGCTACAACTGCTCGTAGACTCCCTTACTTGAAGCACCCAGGCAGACAGCAAAGCTCGTTTCTCCTTGTTTGTGAAGAAGGTAAGCTCTGAGGAAGAGCAATTTCTTTCTGTGTACATTCATGGCACATAACAGAGGTCCAGAAGCTACGGTGAGAGTGGTTTTGAGACAAAACAAAAATTCTACTTACAGCAGCCTTTCTGTTACTTTCCCAAAGGAGGTAGGAGCTGTTTAAACAACCCTGCTTTGAAGATTCTTCAAACATTTCAAGGGATTCTTTTCTTTTTTCTTCATCCTAAGAATGAAAGGCTTGACAGTATTTTTGCCGTCCAGCCCACTGGATGCCAGCTCTCAATGCTCCAGAAGCTACAGCACGCACGGCTCTGTACCAAAAGCTACAGAGCAGAACCAACCAGCTGCGAGCCCCCTTCGGACCACGAGGGGTGCTCCCACAGCCACGCAGTGCTGCCGTTTGGAGATCCAGGCTCAGGAAGCAGTTAGCGGTTTTCCTCAGCTAGACAAAAGCTTTTTGGCTTGCTTGCCACTGAAGGATTTTTTTTTTTTTTTTTTTGACATGCATTATGGATGGAAAGCTTCCTTTGAGACCTGAACACTCTGCAAGCCCACAAGCAAGCCAAAATTAATTTCACTATTTGTAAAATTCAATAAACTAAGTTGATAATGTTCCATTAAACGACCAATAAATTAAACTCATGAGAACAGAAATTCCTAGGCCACTTGAGGAATATAAGAGCATTTTGCTGATATATATATATTTTTTTTTAAATCAAGGTAAACATCACCAAAAAAAAGTACCTAAACACATCAAATCAGAAACACTGCTCACCTCAAAGAGACTCAAGACCTTAGCCAAGCAGTGGAGAATAGATCCTTTTTGAGCCTGAAGAAAGCATCAAGATAAAACATTGTCAAAGACAAACAAAGAACAGCAGCAATTTTTCCTATCAATTCCAGACTACAATTTTGTTTGCCTTTCAATCATTCCTCCCCCTTGCCTTGTTATCTTTGAGACAGTATCGAATCTCTCAGAGGAGACAGTACAGGCCTCCGGCACTCATGATATACCAAGTCTAGTTTGGCAATAAATTCATTAAAATGATTGATCCACAGTCATTTAAGCAACAAGAACACAGGAGCTCCTCGGGGAAGCAAAAATATTTTTTTGCAAAATATCTAGATGCAGCTACTAGCCTATGTTAAAGTCCAGGGCAGAAAGAAATCTTACTTTCTCCAGCTGACACTCCGCTTTGAGACTCTCATAGACCACAGCTTTACAACAGCTTCCGCTCAAGGACCAGGGAGGACGGATAAAAAGCCAGATAAACGGGGCTGCGCACACATTCAAACGCTCTGCCAGACTGAAGAAATGAGATGCCTTTAATCCATTCACTTCTGCACGACCCTCGTCTGATATGGACACTGAACAACACACGAAAAAAAGCCAGGAATCATTTAGAGTTTATTCACAACAGGTGCTTGGCATTTAACCAGGCCAAGACAGACAACAGGATACAATCAGGAAAAGACTGAACAGAGTCTTCCCTTTGGAGCCTTCAAAATCATGGACATGGGGAAAGAAGAAAAATCTTACTACAATCAGGGTTCTATGTTCCTAAAGACTAAGCTGGGGGGGCACATGTTCTGCAAACATGAGCACTCACAGCAGCTGATTCCTGCCAGCGTACAACCAACTGGTGTGCCAGTCACCCACCTCGCCCGCACCCTCTGCAAGGAGGCTCCCCCAGCCAACTGTCAGTCCCTGTTCTTCCCTTTATCACGCTGGGCAAGGAGCAGAGTTTGATCAGAAGGGTATAAAGCGTAACTTCCAACCATGAATTCGCAAGCTCTGCATTGCATTCTTTTTGGAAAGAGCTGTGCACTATACGGTCATTTAACACCCAGCAGTTTAGCAGCCAGCGCTTAAGCTGCCCTGACAGGTAAAACTGGAGGGGCAGCACAGTAAATGAGACCTCACCACCCACTGGGCACAGCCAACCGCCTCTGCGCTTCCCTGCTCTAGGGCCTGGGTACAAAAGCCTCGGTGTTTGAGGCGCAGGAGAAATAGCTTTGTAAGCAGCCAGGGAAAGTGCCAACTTCATGAGACAATTAGCCAATCTGTATCTAGCAATAAGCCTTTAGCTCCTCTGCATTTCCCTCTGTCACGCCATGTTCCTCACAGACCGGAGTACAAGCTCCCACACTTACAGCCTTCATTGTACAGGTATGCTATCCCCAGCTTCACAGCAGCTTCAAAGTTGCCCCTTTCCGCAGCCCTGCATGGGAAACACAGAAGACACTTGAGGTTGAAATCAGTAGGTGCTCCCAGGCCCACATCCTCAAACACGTTACTCCAGCAGAGGCCAGGCTGTGAACGTGGCGACCACCACCCGTAAGCACGTGGGCTTTCACTACCGCAGTTAAACCCAAGTTTTGCTGAGGCTTTTCTTGCTGCAACCCGTTCATATGCCAATGGCCGGGATAATTTGACAATTCCTAAGAACTGTTTCCCATTCCCACGCAACACCTCCAACTCCAGAATGCAGTAACACGTTTCAGTACTTGTACCCTCAGGGAGATGCATCAAGCCCTTGTGCTCCTTCCTTCCAAACTGCTGTGCACATAGCAGTTGTCTTCAGAAAGAGTGTAATACAGTCATCAAAGAAGCAATATTCAGAAGCAAAACAATTATCGTGATATTTAAAGTGAAAGATCCCCTTCAAATCAGAGGGACACGATGATGTTCTCCCTCCTTTTTAAGCGGATTTATCATTACCCTTTCAAACTTCACACGTTTTAATACTGATATTTACCTATTTTTCCATACCCTGGTTTGCACAAGAAGTGACCGAGCCAAGCCAAATACGGTTATGCTCCCGAACCTCTGATCTCACTTGCACATCCTTATGGAAGCACCAGTTAGAGATTTTAGTTAATGTGCTGTGTTCCAATAAGGAATATTAATGCCTTTAAAGAGAAATTACTTTGGTATCTGCAGTGGGCCCTGCTCCAGTTAAAGAGAGAGCAGCTATAAGCTGCAGCTTAGACACAAAATCAAAAATTCTTCATCACCCTAAGCAAAGGCTTCTACAAAAAGGGAAACTCAGATCCCCTCACACTTACAGTGAGGCCTGATTAGACTTGTACACCTACCTTTAAACATTCTCTTTTCAGACAAATTTGATTCTTAAAGCTTACCTTTCAAACATCTTCAGATTGTTTGGAGAAGGCCATATTTCTTGGAAACTTGCACATGCCCAAACACTAGCATGATTATCCACAAGGTACTTAAGATGCGAGTGCACCTGGCAAGGGAGGAGTGTAAAATAATAATTGCTAAAATAGAAGGACCGACTGAAAAATAGTTCTTTGCAATCTCATTTTAGATAGGTAACTAACTGCCTAATCACCATTAAGGCAAGAGATGCCAAATCAAACTAATTTGTTCAGCTACGGTGATCTAGCAGGATAATTCTCACAGAAAATTTACACAGAGCACTCAAATACTGCTGCTAATCTTCTTAAGCTCGAGTACCGAGAAATAAAACTGCTACTGGGATAGCCAAAATTTAATTACTGCATGTATTTATTGGTTTTCTTCAGGTTTACTCTGTCAGGAGGAGCCAGCCTTTTCCGTGTGCAGCCCTGGCTCCTAGAGGCAGAGATAAGCCACGGTGCGTGACAGAGAGGAAGCAGAAGCAGACTCACAGCTCTGACCGAGAGGATGTCCTCATCAGGAAGGCCTTTCAGAACATGGAACAGAACATCCTCGGGCAGACTTAACAACGTCAGGACTCGAGGCCGCTTTCTTATCCTTCGCTTTGAAGGGAAAGAAAAACACCTGGAACATCTACAGTGAATCACTGGAAAACAAAAACAGGGGACACCTCAGTCAGCGATGGAACGGCACAAAGGCACTACAGAGTATTCGCATACAGAAACATGTGTTTACTTGAGCACTTGCGGCATAGGACACCTCTTCAAACACATTAATCACAGAAATTCAGCATGTGTCACATAACGCCGTAAGACCAGGGCACAAAGTAGCGACTCGTTCAATTTAGTCAACGAAGCTATGAGGCTGAGGAAGGATGGCTCACATTCAAGTCCTCTTCATCGAGAGCCCCCCTGTGCCCTGCCTCCATCACTTGACTGCATTTAGTTAAACTGTCACTATGACGACTTCATTCACCTCCCTCACGCCCCAACTTTTCCTTCTCAACCGGTAGCAGGCCTTGGAACGTGATCACAGCAATTCGGAAGTCAAGACCCTCCCCCAGCTCAAGCTAAAAGCCCATCTTTCTCAGAAGCCAGCTCCTGCCACGGGTGCTCATGGAAGATCCTCAGGAACCAGGAAGCCTTCTTTTGAAGTTCCAGCACCTTGTAGCATTGACAGATGAAGGCATCACCTACGTCTTCTGTTCCTCCTTAAGACAGAGTTTACCCTCACTGCATTTGCCAGGAGGGGAAACTGCTCCAACAGCTGAGGCAAACCCAAGAAGAGCACACGATTACCCCTCGCTGGTAGAGGCTCAGACTCTGGTAGAAAGCCCAGGATCCCTTTTCCATCTCCTGCGGACAGCGCAGCGTTTGGGCTGCCATCAAGAGCCTGGCCCACGCCTGCAATCCAGAGCCCCAACGCCCCCAGCAGCCTAATGAACAACAGGAATTCAAACCAGTGCAAGGTGCCAGGAGGAAACAAAAGCACATTGCCCAAACTCGAGCCCGCAAGTGGCAGTGAAGGATCACCTTCACAGACGGCGCTTGCGTAGGAGGACCCGGATCAATCCCCATTCATACTGTACCTTTTGGAGCCCTGCCACGTAGCAGCGGAGACACCAACACTGCTAATTTCTACATCAGCCTCTTGCAGCTCTCAGTAGCAGTCCATACAAGCAATTGAGACCCACTTCTGAGCAAGAGGCTCAACATTTTCTTTGCAGAAATGAGGACTCAAAAAATAAATTCTGAAGTGAAAGCTTGAGCCCCAAAAATTAAAGGGGCTTTGTCTATATTGTAGAAGATTTCTTGGTTGTATTTTTCAAAAATGGTTTGAATCTCATATAAAGAGACTATACTTGGGAAATTTATTTACTGACTTTTGTCTTTAAAAGTTTAATAAAAAGACACAAACTCCTCTAGAGAGCCCAGTACTGTGTAACATGAGAGTCCAGTGGAGGGCTACAAAGATGATGAAGGGGCTGGAGCATCTCTGCTGACAGGAAAGGCTGAGAGACCTGGGGCTCTTTAGCCTGGAGAAGAGAGGACCGAGAGGGGACCTTATCAACGATTATAAATATCTAAAGGGTGGTTGTCAAGAGGATGGGGCCAGGCTCTTTTCAGTGGTGCCCAGCGACAGGACAAGGGGTAACGGGCGCAAACTGGAGCACAGGAAGTTCCGCTTGAACAGGAGGAAAAACTTCTTCACTCTGAGGATGGCAGAGCACTGTAAGAGGGTGCCATGGGAGGTTGTGGAGCCTGCTCCTCTGGAGATACTCAAAACCCATCTGGACGCGTTCCTGTGTGACCTGCTCTAGGCAAACCTGCCTTGGCAGGGGAGTCCCTTCAAATCCCTGCCATTCTGTGAGTCTGTGCTGGCATTGCTTACCCTATTTTCACTGGTTAATTTCTAGCTTGAAAGCTTTTTTTCCTAGCTTTTTCTAGCTTGAAGATTTTTTGGCTTAAATGAAAACAATGGAGTCAAAGTAGTGGTATAATACACCAAACCACCCTATGTTATGTATGGAGTAACCCAAGTCAGAGCCATGTAGTCTCCCTAGATTATAGGGTCAAAGGCATAAGCTGAGAGAATGATGCAGGTGTTTTACAATGAAAGTAGAAGGTGGCTGAAAAGTCAAGGTGAGGATAGAGAATTTTTATGAGGCAAGTATTTTTCTCCGTGAATATGTTTTTTCCTGGTTTGGCTGCTCTTCTACTTTAGATGCTTAACATCTCCTGGTTATAACCTAACACATAGAACACCTCGCGATCTTATTCTAATCTCCAGTTCTTCACACGCAACTTCAGTGAGAGACCTGCAGAGCACTGTGTTGTGTTTCTCTTTGGGAAGATAAGTGCAACAGCTCCTACCAGATGCAGATCCAAGGAATGGAAAAAAAATGTATGGACTGGCCAGGTAGGCCCTCACCTCTGAGCAGGTGAGCCCACAGAACCGGGGAGTGTCCAGACTTACAGACTGCAAGGCTAATGCAAAATTTACAACTTGTTCAAAGCAAAGTTGCTGCATCAGACTCGATTACTTAATACAGGTTTTTCAACTTGCATAGAGCAGGGTTTTCAGCAGGATCCTTGAGAGGAGCCTGCAGATGCCAAAGGGGTCCATGAGCCATGGCTACCACTGTGCTAATACATGTGTTTCTGCTTGTATATGTGATTATTGTCCTTAGCACATCAGGTTTAATGACATGAATCACGAGCCTGATACAAAATAGCATCCCATGTCTCAGCAGCAGCATCTACCTACCTGTTACGGGTCTTTGATTAACAAGCTATCCCCATGAAAACAAAAACTTTTTGATGTGCACAGGGCGTAATACTGCTATCCTTCACGTCCTCTTCCCCCTTCTGGAGCAAACTTCAGCAGTACTTTTGCCATGAAAAAGAAGTGGATTTTTACACTGGTATGCCGATTAAACCTGTACAAACATCCGTGTAACTGGGGAGCATGGGGTACTTGCGTGACTCTGGATTTTGAAAGACAGGAAGTCACACAGGGAAATTTTCAATTTGTTGCTTCAGAAAACCAGAGTGGTTTAGGCTGGAAGAGACCTCTGGAGACCACCCAGTCCCACCACGCTGCCCAAGCGGGGTCACCTGCAGCAGGCTGCGCAGGACTGCGGCCGGCCAGCCGGGTTGGAAAGTCTCTGAGGATGGAGACTCCATCACCACTCTGAGCAACCTGTGCCACCGTTCAGCCACCCTTAGAGCAAAACCTGCTTTTTCTTACGTTTGAATGGGGTTTCCCGCACATCAGTCTGTGCTCAACAAATTCAGACACGTCTTGTATGTTATTTCTCATGCAATCGACATTGCTTAGCGCCTGGCTTCGAAGTTCGAAGCGCGGGAGCGCTCAGACACATCCACCAACCGCAGCTACGGACCCTCCAGCGAACGAGAAGGAAAAGCGCGGCCCCA